TGTGGAATCTCTTAAATCCTTATGGTGCAGAAGATCCCAGACCAGAGAGGCTCCGATTATTATCAACACCATGGGCTGGGTCAAAGGTCAGTGTGCGCTGCCTTCTGTGACATCAGTGAAACAATGTAGGAGAATTTAAATACACTAATAATAAAAAATGTTTCTGAATGTGTGTCTGTTCACAGGATTTGGATTCAAGCTGCTGGTTGACATGATCCGCTTCTTCCCAGTTTCCCATGTCGTCCAGCTCAGTCACAGTGGTGTCAATCAGTGCCCCGCCCTCACTCCAGACTTTCTGAGAACGGCAAATGGCTTTCAGACTCACCCACCCGCCCAGACCGCTCTGGATGAGTTTACAGAAAGCCACAGCCCCCCAAGAATCTACAGTCACATTAGTATACAAGCAGAGTTTCAAGGAGTTGGGAGTCAAGGAACAGCGTAAGTACACCACTGCACCACCATTATTAATATACTGGTGTAAAAACATTATTCCAGACTCTTGGCTACATCTCATATCGCTGCATTTGACAGGAAACACCAGCGTAGTAGCTGTTCTCGACACTCCACTCAACGGTTTGGGTATGATTCCTCTCGACAGCTACGTTGAAGGGCTGAAAATGTCGAAGAGCTACAGACATGCTCTTAACACATTAGTCAGTGTGTGCAAAGGTAACCCACTTTTAGATGTGCCAAATTATACACAAGTCACTTTTATGCTACAAGGCTAAATTTATACCCTTTTTGTAACCCTTACACACACACGCACACATAGAACAGTACTGAATCAAGTTCATTGTATCATAATCATTTAAAATTCTTTGGGTTTTATTATTTAAAATTAAGTAAAATAAAACATCAGAATGAAATTATTGCTTTCCATTAAGAAAAGTACATATTAAATATTTAGCACAGGTTTAGAGACTCGTTTGGTCATTAAGTGGCCGTCTGTTGTGCTTTTTGCTTTATTTTGTTTTTTGTTTGGGTATTTATTTCATAAAGTATCATGTTAGCTCTTCTAAAGAGTTTTAATTCTGGAGGAATAATTGTTCTGTCATGTTTTGGGGTGGCTGTAGCTCAGGTAGTAAAGCAGGTCACCTACTAACCAAGTATCCTTAGATACTAACCCCATGTTTCTCTCCGTGTGTGTGTTGTGATCAGCTGACCTGCACCACTGCTCCTTTGACATTTGCTGCTCTTTGTGGATTTAACTGAACTCAATAAGATATAAGCAGAC